AAATAAAACCAAAGCCCTCTTGGAAGGACTCCGAGGTGCTGAAGAACCGGTGGTGGACTTGGCTGTTCATACCAAGGTCTGGCCACCAGAGGGCGCTGGGTTTGAGGGTCGCTGTCCAGCAGCACAGGAAGGCGAGACCTTGAAGCTTCCTGCCTGGCTCTTGGAGACACTCAGTCGTCACGGACCCCATCTCTAGGGTTTGCTGTGCTGTCTCCCTTATCACGAATGCCCTCCTTTTCCCATCTCCTTGCTCAAATCCGTCAGGGTCCTCCTAGAAAGCAGCTTTCCTAGGTGCTGTCCTCCCACCCCATCCAGCCCTTGGTGTAGGGCTTTCCCAAACCCCAGCCCCTCAGCCCTACCTTGACTCCGTGGCCATCTGACACTTTTCCGTGTTCTGTCCGGTTGTGTCCGGGGCGGATCAGACCCCTGGATACCTGCAGAGCGATAACGAGGAATAAAGAAAAGACTAGGAGGAGTTCGCCTCTAGCAGACTGACTCTGATCTCTTGGTGTTGCCCGTTTTTATTAGTCGGTGAGAAGTAGGGGGAGTAATTTCTTTTCCTGGAACAGCGACTGGTTTAGGAATGGGATAATAAGGTGAGGATCAAACTTAAGATTTCAAAGAGAACATGATAAACTCCTTCCCCTGGATGCCCGCCTTTTATCTCAAGAGGCTGTGAATATGAGTGTTCCCAACATAGCCAGAGAGCATGAAGCTTTCTGCAAACTGCCCTGTTCCTTGGGGCAGTCTCACCAGCCTCAGATCATGGGACTATCTGAGGACAAGGACCAGATCGCTCCACAAGATAATATACTATTAGTCATTCAATAAACATGTACTTATTGTAGGGGCTTTTCTAGGCATTGGTTAAAAAAGAAAACTTCTATGGAGCTTACAGTCTTGCAGGATAGAGGTAATAAATATGCAATGCCAGGTGATGAGAAGTGTCGCGAATAAGAAAGCATCCTGAGAAGGAAAACGTGAAGTGTATTTTAGGTCGGGAGGCCCAGACATCCTTGAGAAGGTGACTTTTAGGTAGAGACCAAAATAAAGGAGGTTACCAGCCTTTATGGAAAGTTTGTGTCAACAGAGACCACAAGACCAGCTGGAAAAAGAAGACACACACATATATACAAGACAATGTGAAGACATTGAAGAACTACCAAGGTGGCCAGTATGCCAAGAAAGGAGCTTTGCTTGTTTGAGACAAGGTCTTGCTATGCAGTTCAGGCTGGCCTTGAATTCGCTGTGTAGCCTAAGTGGCCTTGACATCATAGTGATCCTCCTGCTTCTGCCTCCTGAGTGCTGGAATTATAGGTGTGCACCACCATGCCCCACCCAAAGACTGAGGAGGAAGCAGGATGTATAAGGCAAGAGGTGGGAACCTAAATTGAGCTTTCATCTGCGTCATGGGTGGGGCAAGAGACAGAAATGTCTGCGGCTACTAAAACAGAAAGGACTTGGGCAGCAAAGCATTGGAGGGGAGGAGGAATACTATGGTGACCACAGTGTTATTCTTAGACCTTCCCCTTGGCAATCTTGTGGAATTTGGTAAATAAAATTTGATGTTTAGCATCTCACAAGGAGAGACCTTAGACCCACAGTTAGGATGGAACAAGGCTTACAAATTAGGAGGAAGGGTCAACTGGAAGTAGGCTCACCCACAAAGGGACCAAACCCAGTTTCAAATTCAGTCCCAGACTGGATTGGATCAAGGGGATCTCTATGTGCTTGCAAGAAAGAGAAAATAGGCTATTCCTGGCCAGTTGAGCCTGTTTACATTTAAACTAATTGAACTGAAAACTCAGGAAGTGCGTACAGCCACCTGTGACCGTAATGTGTAGCCACCATGGCTACCATGAGAAGCAGCGCAGTCCACAGAAGGTTTCCATTATCACTGTCCAGTGCTGTTCTGCTTGACCCCAGAGGAAGACTGTTGGAGCCGTAGCCCCAGAACCTGTCTACAATATTTTTTTTACACAAAGTACTGTATTCAGTAAAAAAAAACTAACAAGGATGCCAGGAGGTATGACCAAATAACTGAACACCAAAAGGAAAAACAGAGCATAGATAGGACTGCAGGTCATCCA